CAGAAGTGAAAAAGAAGGAAACCTAGAAGTGGGAATATTCTTGTATGAAAAATGCAAGGGCTCAAGAATAAAATTAATTTTGTTAAATTTGCATTCTGTCACCTACAAGCATAGTGTTTTGGGAAGTTAAGATGCCTGTATTTGTGAAACAACCTGGCTATTTTATTACCCGATTAACAATTACAGCAAAAACAAGAGCCCAAGAGTGTGAAGGGTCTTTATAAACCAAATGCTTTCAGTTAGTTCAGTTGTCTGGCTTCCCAAACTTTATTCAACAAATAGTTTTAGTTCTTTAATTAAGAAAATTTCATTAGAAATTAAATGATCCATGTGAGATAGTTATTGACAACCACACTGATTATACCAAGTAGAAGTTTTAGTCTCTTTTATTAGTGGCCAGACCAAGAACAGGCTTGTGCCTCTGAAAAATCCTTTGGCATCCAAGTTCAGGGGTATAGAATTTTTAAGGACAAAAATTCAAAGATCATAAATACTTTATATCAAAGTTAGATGAGGGTCAGAGTAACCTTGGAATGTTCATTCCTGGAAGAGCATAGTAATTGTTTAGTAATTATTTTAGACACAACATGCCAATTATTTTTTTTTACTTATACTTTTTTAGTTATTTTAGTTTACTTTAATTATTTCGGTTAATATGTCTGGACCATGGTCAAGACCATGCAAATTTCAACTGTCTCCCAAGGTAGAAGCGACTGCTGAGGGAAACGGGGTAGAGGGCCGAGACCTTTCTAAGAAACACAAAATGTAATCAGAAGAGAATAATGTTACCTTAGTCATTTCAGCAATAGCTGTAAGATAAATTCCTATGTAAGGTTACAGCTTGCCCAACTATTAAACTTGGCCCTGATAATACTGTTCTATATTTCTTGTACTCCTTTTTTTTTCATCAGATTCTATCTATTTTATATTTCTCAAGTTGTATCATTATTCTGCTTTTCAACTTTATACATTATTTAGTCTTTTAGAACTTGTGAGTTTCTTTTTCCTTTTCTTTGTTATTTTTGCCACAAGTTTGAGTTTTGTGCAGTCCAATGTTCGGTCTTCTTAAGGTGTCATATAATACACTTCTCAACTCTTTAGCTTTGCAAATTGGTAGTAAATTTAAAAGCATGGTTAGAGTGGAGCTTGGTTATTTTGGCAAGACTACTATTTCTTTTAGAAAACATGAATATCTTTTCTTAAATTTTCAGTTTTTTCTTACCTTTATACAGAACTCCCAATTTATTTTGGCACTAAAATGTTATTTTAAATATATTTCTTAATATAAGGATTATTGCAGATGTCAGTGCCACTCAAGACAATCAAAAGGCATGCTGTATTGACTACAATGTGGAGTGCAAATTGACTTTTTATTTAAAAAATAATTTTGATTGCCCTCTTAATTTCTTGCAAGGGTGACTCTTGTGGCTCAAAATAGAGTGATGTAACTTGTTAGTTGGCTTGCACAAACGCTTGACTTGTGAAGTTGTTATAAAGAGACACAGGTCTCTGTGGTGTTCATGGGGTTATTTAATAGTCCTTTCCTGAGAGACATGATATATATACATATCTACTCACTCCAGATTAATCTCATGATGATGGGCCAAATTTGGTGAATCAATAGATTTTATTGAGGAAACTAACAGAATTATATACCCATAAGTGTTCATTTACAGGAACAAGTGATGTAGGAGAGTCTTCTATCTAACTGTTGTTTCATTGGTTAATTAATAAAGAAAACTGCTTGGCCTGATAGGTCAGAACATAGTAAGGCGGGGAAGACAGAACAGAATGCTGGGAAGAAGGGAAGTGAGTTAGATGCGATAGCTCTTCTCTCCAAGATGGACACAGGTTAAGATCCTTCCTGGTAAGCCACCATCTCGTGGTACTACACAGATTATTAGAAATGGGTTAATTAAGATATGAGAGTTAGCCAATAAGAGGCTGAAACTAATGGGCCAAGCAATGTTTAAAATGAATACAGTTTCCGTGTAATTATTTCGGGTAAAGCTAGCCGGGCGGGCAATGGGAAGCGGCCCACCATTCCTTTTACAAACAAGGATGACTCAAAGGAAGCTACATCACCCCAAAGAACAACCCAGCACCCGCAAACCAGTGACAACTCATGGAAGCACTAACCCTGGAGTTTTCTACTGCTCCAGGTTGTTTGTTGCCTTGACAACCCCAGGCAGGCTTATCCAGAATTTTTCAAGTTTGAGCTTTCCCAGACATGCAACACTTGCTTTACCTCCTGTGCCTCCCCTTCCCTCCTGGAGGGAGTGTTACAATTCTGGAAAAAAACTGTTATACATCCCTGGATGATGCAAAAAGCTTCCCAAACTGCAGACTGGGTGATAGGCCTGTGGGATACTGATTATGACAGTCAGTAACCAGGGTTTTGAAAAGAGAAAGAAGTATAAGTAGACCCAGCAGTGATTGGTTCTACAGAGGTGGAACAATACTTCAAAAAGTAGATAAAGCATAGAAGTATTTTTTTTATTAATGATCTATAATCATGACAGAAAAGTCACTTGTAAAGTTGAATATACCAATAAAAATTAGACAACAGTATTTTATTTTCATTTTAGAAACTAGTACGTATCTGGGTTATAAGTATGGAATCAATGAGTTTCTATTTTATTTTTCATTTTGGGCATCAATTAAAATTTATTATGGGATTCAATTAAAATCAGACCTTTTCTCCCTATGGAAGTTTTGTCTCTGGTTTAAATGGATTCACCTTTAAATCTGCAGTCTATCAGGATGGTGTGCCTTCTTCTTTATGTCAGATCTTCTTGATTGTTATTTTTAGTCTCACGTTGGTAAGCTTTCCACTTGGATGAGCATAGAAGTCACAAGCAATCTTTGTATAGAACTTGATTTTTATTTCAGACCAAAATGTCAACTCTCTTGATATTTGACTGGGGTGGGGTGGGGGCTCAGGGGAAGGTCCTCGATGCTTCTACCCAGCTATCCTGATATTTTGCTGTTGTTTGAGTCTACAGGCAGTTGGGTCTGGGTCCTTATATGGAGCCTGAACTGGAATCTGTCTACCCCTAAAGCTCCCTCCGTCCCTTAGGTCTGGCTGTTTATGGGTAGAGATTTTCTCCAATGCTTCATGAATTTGTCCTTCATATAAATTCAGGTAATTTACCTAAGCAGCACCTAGCAATTTGTGCCTTAATTGACAAGTATATGGAGATGCTCCCGAGAACAGGGTAGGGTGGGAACAGCCTAAAGAAAGCTTCTGGGATGGGCGAAGGGAAGATTCCAGAAGGACTGAAGCAAAGGAGCTATGAATGTGATTTCTGAAGACAAGCACCGAAACCTGTAGCCAGGGATTTTACCTGCCTTCTCCTGAAGCTGAACTGCTTGCAGCTGTTTTATTAATCACTGCAGGTGCCTAAATTAGCATTTTCCTTCTGTTTCCCATCGTTATTCTAGAAACTTCCCCATCTTAATTTTAACTTTCCTCTTCTCTCCTCTAAGCTTTGATTTTATTATTACTTTCTTCTTACACTTTTTCTCTTTTTAATTTTGTCCCCTTCTTTTGTGTTGGATTATAGCTCAGAGATGAAACAATTTCTGTACACCTGTTATGTGGGCAAAGTGTTACTTCTGCTGAACATTTGCAAGGCCACACACTGAAGTACTAGACAATTGTGGCTTTTCTATATGCAAGGGTTTTCACACCAGGAGCCACTTGTTACAGCTAGTTTTTGGTGTCAGTAGACATAAGGTCCTAATCTAATATGAACAGCAAATCATACAGTACTTTAGACTTGTACTCTCTTTCAAATATACTATTTTCTTATTTTCCATTGCCTTCCCTCCCTCCCTTCCTTTTACTATGGATCGATTATCACTTTATAAGCCCAAATACTGTTCCTCGCCACTTCTGTGCATAGCTGACATAGATAAATAGATACTCTTTTATTTTTTCCATTCCACCCACCCATAAATTCTGTGACCCTATTGCTGTTTAGACTTCTTCTCTTCTTAGCTAACAAATAAGGGTTCTTGGTTTGTGGCAGTAAAGACTTTGGATTAATCGAGCTGGAGTTTCCTTCACTTTTTACAGCTCTAAGCTATTCTAATCTCAGAAATAAAAATTTTGAGTTTTAGTATCTGCATTAAGTTCAAAAACTTTCTGCTCTCAAAAATGATGGAGTACACCTGAAGAACATTTGTTCATGTGAGTTAATAACTGTAATGATCATGGTGCTAGGTCTTAACACTGAATACAATTTTAAACACAAGAATCTTTGGGCACTCACTGCACAAGATAGCAGAGTCTCTGACAGTATATGCTTTGCACTCATGAGAAAACAGGGGTGGGGAAGGTTAATTATATTTTTCTATTTCTCTGAAGAAAAATGGAACCTTATAGAACTCCAAAAGACATACAATTGTCCCCAGAAAATATTAAAGCAGACAATTATTGAAGTATTTGATGGTGCTTTTTTAATGCTGTAAACTCCAGAAATGATGAGGTGAAGGGTAGGAATTCGAGAGAGTATTTTTGACACCAGAAATTTATACTACTGTAAGTCTCCATACACGGACTAGATATTCCTGTATAACCAAATGTAGTTAATGAAAAATGATGTAGTATCTTTTCTTGGCCATTAAAACCTTAGTCTATTGTCTCATACTATAATCTGGAAATTGGTGTTACTGTTTTAGTTTTGTGAATTCAGACCCTGATATGATCACTGCTAAGAGAGTACCAAGGTTTTCAGTTATATTTCTCATTATCTGCTCAACCAAGTAACATTAGAAAGACATATATCAAGCACTGTATACCTTTTCTGTCTATAAAACCTTGTTGAAAAATCCATTCTCTTACAAAAAACGCAAAGCAAGGATACTTTTTAATCTTGAAGCAACTGCATTAGGTAGTTACAAATTTATTCAGCTCAGTGTGAGTTCCTGGGTAGCTCTCCCCTCTCTGTGTGAACATCTAACCACCTGCTTAAAGCTCTGCTTCTTTTTTCCAGATAGTTTTGAGATAACCGCACCCTCAAATGGCTACCTGTCTGCAGAACCTGGACAAAATGTCACACTCAGTTGCCAGCTTCCAAATAACTGGCCAATGCAACAAGTAATGTGGGAAAAAGTCCAGCCCCATCAGGTAGATGTGTTAGCTTCCTGTAACCTATCTCAAAGGACAAGTTACACATCAAAGTACCTAAGAAAAACATGGAGTAACTGCAGCCAGGGGAGCACGCAGAGTGTCCTCATCATCCCCAATGCCACGTCTGCTGACTCTGGACTTTACAGATGCCGTTCTGAGGCCAGCACGGGAGAACAGAAAACCTATGTCATAAGGCTGATCATAACTGATGGTGAGTGACAAGAGATGTTCCAAGTGTCAAAAGAAAAAAAAAACTGGCAACAAACAAAACAAAAAGCCCACTGTGAATTGATCTTCTCTCCTTTTATTTGTAGTACACATGTTCCTTTAATGGGAGTCTGTTGTATGTCAACTTTTTAATGTTTAAATATGAAGCTTCTAGAGAAGTAGATTTCTATATGTCTCTTTGGAAAGAACTTCAATATGATTTATTTTTATTCATAGTTCAAAAATATTTTACCTAAGAGTCATATGCATATGTTTTTATAAATATTTTTATTGGTTTAATTAAGTATGTTGAACATTACTAAGTTGTAGGGTTTGGTATTTATCTGGTTAACTCTTCTATCATAGATTTACGAATGGAAATGTTTCAATTTACTTTGTTTTTACAGAATTTGTATGTGTGTGTATGTCTGTGTGTGTGTAACTGTGTATAAAAATACAAAGGTGAATAAGGGAAATCTGAAGAGTTCCTCTATGGCTTTCTACTATTTCCCTCCCTCCCTTCCTTCCTTCCGTCCTTCCTTCCTTCCTTCCTTC